TTTTCTAGAGACCCGTTTCGCTCTAAAATATATAGCGAAACCGTACATGGCACAAATTACAAAATTATCCACATAGCCTAAAATATTTAACTTTCCCATAGAGATCCTTCTATGACTGAACATAAAACGCCTCTAGCGGCCTAGGGGCGCTGCCCCCGCGACCCCCACCGGGGCAGCCCCCCAGACCCCCGCCCGCTCACCGGGGAGCAGGACTCCCGTGCTGTCCAGTCGTCAGGGGCCCTTTCGGAATCGCCTCAGGATCTCTTGGATAACAGAATACAAGACATCAACCTCAACAGTTTCCTCCTTCTAAATCATTCTAGCCGTGTCTATTCAGCAACCCCTTAAACTCGAAAATTTGTCGTTTTATCATAAATTGTATAGATGGTTGCTTGGTGATAAGCTTTGCCATTTTTTCCACCGGTGATTTGGGGTACTCTCGAGCTCTTATATGAGCCCAACGTGCTGTCGAGTTTGGGTGGTATTGGTATCAAGATGAGTTGAGCTTGAATTTGGTAATACCAAGCCAGGTTCTAGTCACAAGAAGCCTAAAGCTACTTGGAGTAGTTCATTTGGCATAGTTAAGTAATCAAGTCAAGGTCAAATAGTTCAAGTATCAAATCAGGTTTAGCTCGAGGATTCCTTCTGCTTCAGTCGAGCAACTTGCAAGCCTCATCGAGAATATTGAATCGAGACTATATGTTTTGTCTCGAACAAAGACAAGTACGATATTACCATCTATTCAGTTTTCTCGCACTTTATTCTAGCTAGACCTCGAGGTCGAATATTACATTGAGGTTTGCTCTTTAGTAACTACGCGGTGTTTGAGCTCAAGCTTAAACACATAAGGGATCGTACTAGGTCAAGCTCTAGTACGAGCTCAAGCTCAATCGAATTTGAGTTGAGAATTGAGTCTATCTTCAATTTTGGCGTCGAGTAGCTTTTGAGCAACGAGTTGGTCAAGCTCAATCCAACTCGACTGCGAACTCCTATGTTACGTCGCACTCCGAATCCCTCACGAAGAAAATGCCCTAGCTCTATCACTATACATGATCAAGTTGTTGGGGTGTAATTCATACTTTCCATCGATAGGAAGGCATGAGAAGCCCACTTATATATAATCTCTTTCTCCTGTAATTGAGAGTTATAATTAGAGAGGTGAGAGGTACTAATTCTAGTAGAATTCTCTGCTAGATGTAACCCTAATTTAAAAATGAACCTATATAAGCCCCGTGTCTCGATTTCTTTTTTTTTCATTTACTCTCTATTTCGTTGTGTTTGTGCGCCTAATCCTAACACAAGTCTCGATCACACAAAACCCTAGAACATAATTATGAATCCCATCGCCATGTGATCTAGAAGAAGCTTGAAATGTTGTCCTCTTCATGTTAGTCTTGATCATTGCCATGAAAATATAAAAATTCGATTCAAGCTCTCTACTCATTTTCCTCCCTTATCTTATCTTAGGGTTTGCGTGAGAGGGACGGGGTTGACGACATGAACACACAACTACAAGCAAAAAGGAGAGGGACACCTCACGCATACTTGCCTTGGTCGTTATCATTCATTCGATCTTCTTCACAATTCGTGCCCTTCTCTTTGCGTACGTAGGAGGAGAACAATATTGAAGAGGAAGGCGTCAACACACACCCACGTCGGTGTCATTATTACACGACCACGCACTCTCAACTGCTACAACAATTCCCACCTTGGACAACTTTGTCGTCTCTCTTCTTGGTTCTTCTTCCCCCCAGAACGAAATTGATTTTGGTAAGCCTTCCAATACAATACAACCCTATGACGACAGCTTTATTGTCACGGTGTCCCTGTCGGGTTCGCAGCCGCAAAAATCGGGTTCTGGCTCCCCCCGCGTTCCCCGATCTATAAGATTAACGAGACATTTCGCAGATCCGAGATCGACCTATTGGAAAGGGAATTCTCCCGTCATTAAAGAAGAGTCCAACCGTGTGAATAAATTTCGGGATTTTGATTGATTCGACACACATCGTGCGCGTGAAGTTTGGTTTACGATAGACTATTTGAATTGCGTGCGATCGTCGCGTGTTTAAGATTTTCTTTTTTTCGAGTATCCTCAAACTTTTCAAAGCGCGTCCGCAATAAAAAAAAATCTATGCTTTAATGCATTAATGAATACGGTAATGTCGGCTTTGATTTTCCTAGCCGTGTCAACGGCAAAATCGGTGGAATAAAGCTGAAGGAATATGGTTCGGTTGACGCAATTATAATATGTAAAGTATGCTTTGATTAGGAGAGGACCGGTACCATGCAGGCAAAGGCTTACGAGCCCTTAAGTCAAGAAAAGGAATGTGAACGGCATCAAATGAAGTACATATATCAGTATAATGTATTAGAAAAGGACAGCTAAACCAATCGGCCTTTATTGTCGAAAGTTTTCGTAGCATCCCCGTTTACACCTTTCACACACGTCCCCGCGGGTTGGAAATTTCAACTCGGAAACTTCAGTTAATTGGTGGAAAAAGACTGCACGAACATAAAGGGCATGTAAGGCCCGTTGTCAAGCGATGTCGGGTAATATTTTAATATCCTATCTTATGTGCAATCCGATTAGGAGTAGCGCGTGGAATTTGACTGATGTGGGGTGGACGCACATACGCAGAGGTAACGCGTTAGAAATTCCAACCCGAAAACTTGAGCTAATAGATAAAAAGAGACCGCATGAATATAAAGAGCATATAAGACCCGTTGTCAAGAGATGTTGGATAATATTTACACCCCTTATACGAGCAATATTTGGCAAATTCTGTGAAAAACTTGCAATCAAGATGGTTGGGCATGCATGTTAACCTAGATTTGATGCTTTGCTAAGTTTGGAATCGACTTCTTTTTCACAAACATACATATATTGGTGAAGAGCGATTAGTTTTTAATAGATAAACCTTGAATCTTATTTAAAAAGAAATGTACATAAAGGCAAAACGTAGGAATTTCAAGTGGATGTTTTTCGCTAATTTCATCATCTCTAGCTTGATAAAATATTGTTTTAATAAAGGATAAAAATGGTCAATTTAATTGACAAATCATTTAAAATCTCTTTGATTTACCACAAATTCTAGCATAGATGATATGAGTTCAGTAATGAGAGAATGACACAAATAATCTCTCAATTTTAGCCTAATGTGCAATATCATCTCTAAACTTTTAATTTGTTCAATGTGATATCTGAACTATTGGTCAATATTCAATGTAATCTTTCCATTGGCTCAAATGACAAATCAGACATTATTTCATGACGTGGCTTATTATAAGTCGAGTTAGATTTTTAAAAATGACGAGTCAACATGTCCACTTTTTTTTATTTATCCACTTTAGAAAAGGAAAAAAAAGGGTGTTAACATGTCCATCATTTTATGGTGGCATGGATTATTATATATTGATTTGAGATGAATATATTATTTGGATAATTCACGTGTAACTTTTTTTTATTGTACACCATTCAAACTTAACGGATTATAAGTCATATTAGCGGAATCAGTTAACTTGAATTAACGAAAGGACGGCGCTGAACACTTGCATATAGTCTAGAGGCTAGATTGAACATTTACTAATGATTCAGGGGCCGCATTAAACAAATTGAAAATCTAGGGATGACGTGCACATTGGACCAAATTTCAGGGTCCATCGGTGTCATTTTCCCTTTCATTGATTCAACAAATAATGTCTAGTGTCCCTTTCGACGTCCAATTTCGGAAGGCTCTTACCTATCCATGAACAGCCAAGCATAAAATCACTATTCCTCTTTCTACCACTAATTGTTGTTCCTTTCTTCTATCGCCTTCAATTGTTTCGTGAAGTGCACAACAAAATCTGTCGCAGAATTTCCCTGAAAGATACATCTCAGAAATTGACCGTAACCATCTCCAGAATTTGCGCTAGTCCACTTTGATTAATCATGATATAATCTTAAGTTGACCCGGACAACATCTGCGTCAGGTTCGGTCTGCGGTCGGGGCAGAGCCTCTTTGGCCACCTTCGACTATGTCCGCGGTCAACAAGTGATATCAAGGCAAGCCACCGCGGTAGGCGGTGCCGGTGAGCCGTGCTGCAAGGTTCTTTCCCCGGCGGCGGGCGGGCCGGCAATGGAGGGCGTGGATGAAAACTATTCGTTAGGCTGAGATTGTAATTACCGTAGCTTTGGGGGAGATAGTGGGTTTCCAATGCGTCAAGCTCCAAGTGAAGTGGGCCGTCAAAGCCCAAGATTTGGATGGGCCTGCTGGTTCGGAATTTGGGCCTTACTCTCCCGTGTAAGGCCCTCTCGTTCGTTCCGCTTGCTCTTTCCGGCAAATGGAGCTGTGGGCCAAAACCAACAGCTTGGACCGAATCGAATCAACACACTTGCGCATCGCGATACCAACGCCATCTGCGTCCGGAGGGAGGGTCGGCCGTACTCAATATGAAGTTGTCGAGTGTTCCGGAGTCTCGAATTTCTCGGTTGCTAAGGTGAAAAACGAAAAGAAGTAGAGAAGTACGTTCAATCGAGCTGGTTTTTTACAACGTTATCGGCCTTTTCTACTCGAGTCACGCGCACTATACTTGTCCAACTCACGGCTTGAAACTTCAAATTTCTAGTATAATTATGATCCAATCCCCACAAACTTATATTGAACACAAGAAGTGGAGAAATTCTCATGAAATTTGTGCTTGTCCCAATTGCCCTAACCATACTCTTAGTTTTAATACGTGCGACTTTATTCTACAAAGTTTTGCATTTTGCAATCAATCTCTCTATCTCATTCGATTTGGGCAATCAAATTTTTCTGTTATGAAGAGGCTCAACGAAAGCACGGCCGTCGGGCGACGGACGTAAGCTGGGGATTAGCTTAATCTCCCCTGGTCGAACGTAATGAAAATCAAACATCCTCGTCTCGATATCAAACGTAGTTCTATTTCCGCCGCGCAACCGAGGCCCCGAGGCCACAAACAGAGACATCTCATGGCAGATTCAGATAGCTCTTTTCATGTTTCTTACTACTACTCGTATATTCAAAATACCATAAGTCATCACAATGCTTTATTACTTCGCACAAGCCTGCCATACCCTTCACTGCAACACCAGTCTTAGCACTCTTCTCAGTCTCTCTCACTCATCAAGACATACAATACTAGCAGCAAAGCTTTTAGGCTATGCTGAAAACAGAGCAAAGTAGGGGGGCACCGCATATGTACATGGCCGGTCCGCCGGGCCTCGGCCTTGGCCTCGGGGCCGATCTCCACCGCTCCCTCACCTCAGCGATGCTGGCTCCTGGTCTCACCACTGTATAGCCTGCGATTGCATCATAGTACCGAAAAAAAGGGGGTCGCTTTACGCAAGAATTCGATGGATTAACGGACCCGGGTGATCGAAAAGACTTGGATCATCTAGCCAAAGCTTTATGAGTACGCTTGATCTTACCAGTCGTAGACGGTGGGGGAGTTCGGCTGGGGCTTGTCGAAGTACTCGCCGCCGATCTTCTTGGTGGCTAGGTTGCTCCCCGGGTGGAACACGCTCCTCCACACGTTCTCCCTGCGGGCCGACACCGGGGTCGTCGGCGTCTTGGGCGTCGCCGGCGTCGTCGGCATCGACACCGACCTCTGGTACTTCCCTCCGGCGCTGCTCTCGCCACCTTCCCCGACATCTGCACCCACACACACACACACGCGAACGTCATCACAAAGACATCGCTACACTGTCGCTGACCAAGTAACAAAAAACTTCCCGACATCAGCACGCGACCCAGGAACACTGCGATGGACCCCTGTTTCATGCTCATCATGCCGATGAATCGTTAAGAAGATAGCCACATGAGGGATCGATCCAACCTGCGACGACGAGAGGCTTGCTGGTGGCGAGCTTGCGCAGCCGGCCGAGGCCGCGGTCGGGCTGTGGCCCGGCCACAACATCGTCCCATAGCTTCTCCAGAAGAACCATATCTCTCTCGCTCTCCCTCGATCTCGAACTGCGTAACTTTGAAGTGGCTTCATCAGGGGCTCACTTTATAGTGGGAAGGAGCTTAAAAATCTCGCCTAGGAGACAGGATCAAGGGACGCGTTTCATACCACTGCGCGTAGTAAAAAGTCGTTCTGCAAGTAGCAAAATCACCTGAACATTTTTAGCTCCTATATTATCAATATTATGATAATGACACAAATACTTATTAAACATTGACCCAAAATGTATTATGATCTCGAAATTTTAAATTTGTTCAACGTAATTTCTAAATTTTAGCTCAATATAATATTTTTATTCAGTTTATGGACTAAATTAAATATACACTAGCAGTCTATATTACACTAAATAAATTTAAAATTTATAAATAATATTACATATTAGACTAAAATTTAGAAATCACGTCGAATAAAATTATTTGCGTTATTATCCTATTAATATTCGGGTGGACATCAGTGGGTGAGTGGTGGAAATAGCAAGATGGGGGGAGTGGAGATAGAGGGCGACCATGGATAAGGATGAGGACTCAGTAAAACGCGGGGCCCCGCAAAATAATATCGTACTGAAAGAGAGTAGGTTTGGGCGACAAGTGTTGGATTCATTATGGCCATTTTGTCCTATTCCCATGGGCCCAATTATGAGTATTGGCAAATTATTATTATTATTATAATTATTATTTCTTGATAGAAAATTTACTAATCGAATTGATAGAGAATGTACTAATTAAATACACACGGTTTACGTGCGTGTCTAACAATCACTAGTGATTGCGCAAAATAATCTCGTGACGACTTTTAAATTTTTTTTCCTCTTATTTGTCATGGTCCCTTACAATTGACATGAAACACTACGCATTAGCTGGGGACGATTTTCGTCCCACTAGAAAAACTCAAATCGAAACCCGACCCAAATCTACCGCTCTATCACCATTCTGTCTAATATCCTCTGTTAAAATGTATAGCTCAACACATGTAGAAGACAACTGCAGAACAGATATGACTCGGAGCATAAAGATACCCAACGTGAAAAATCTAGGTGTATTGACCACGTCCACTCTCGTGCAAAACAGATATGGAGTGGAGAACAAAGAAGCCCGACCGCATTTTTATGGAGGATGGATTTGGGTAGGGGTAACAATTTAGGACTTTATGCAAGATGAATACTAGTTCGGGATAAATGTGTCGCGAAACACCAATTTAGGATTTTTAATGGGATGAAAATTAATTTCAAATAAATATGTCGTGGGTATCGTTTTGGATTTTTGATATTATCAACCTTTACACGGGTACTCGATAATATCTGATACGTATTGTATTGCATTGCATTGCGTTGCATTGGCTAGTGATATGAATCATCTTACTACACAAGAGCGTCTAGCTTTCTTCCCTTTCCCCAATCGGAAGGCGACACGTGGTTCCCGCCGGTTTGATGGCTATCTCGATGGATCCTATGATGGAGGACAATGGAACTTATTCGGTGCTATTTCCTTTTCACCGAATCGAACGTGGTTGTCTTTGTCATGACTTAGTTTTGGTACGCTACCTCCTAGAAAGATCTTAGGTTTTAATTTGAAGAATCATTTGAGTTCTCACACAACACAGACGGCAACCTTTCCATCGGAGTTATCATATACGTCCTCATTTCTTCCCCCCCCAAAAGTGAAATCACGTTTGTCAGTCAATTATTGATTTAAATGAGCGCGATCTTCGTGCTCTTAAAATATCTAAACATCTCTAGTTCTATTAGAGAAAATTCCAGGTTTTGTAAGGAGATAGTTTAGCCAGTACAGTCATTAGTATCTGTTACCGGTATATTTGTCCAAGTTATTGTCGCAAGTAACACAATGATTTGGATGATTTAAATGCTAATGGAGGATGAACAATGGTCAATTAAAGTACTCGATTTGATTTCGGATCAAAAGAGAGTGGGATTCTAACACGCGTTGAAAGTCTCAAAAGACTTAGTAGAGTTCGAATTACCGAGACAATGCATGAACAAATGATTGGAAACGAAACGGTGGGAAATGCCAAGAACGTTTATTGAATCGGAACAGATGGGCTGCATTCTTGGATGCCGCGGTTGCTCCATGCCTGAATTGGAACACAAACGTCTCAATGGAAATTTAATGAAGCGTGGAGAGAAAGTAAGAGGATTGCAAGAAACGTCTAGAATGATAGCTTTTATAATCGAAGACAAGTACTGGAATTAAGAAATCTAATCTAGTACAATGTCAAAATTCAAATTTAAGCAAAGTCTAATCCAAATGATCATCTCCAAAATCTGATGGGCTCCTTGTGATCTCTCGCTGCCTCCTGCTCATATTGCATGTTATGTCTTAAAAGTGTGTTAAGACATACGTGCGCGTGTGCGCTTTAATTCTTCTAACATCTTTAATGTGCCGTTCCATTTTGTATCCCGATATTCCTCCACAAGAATATCTAAATGTTTCTTGACTTACACGCTACTTTAGAAATGGCTTGTAACTGCTCCGGATACTTTAGCTACAATTTTTGCTTAGTCGATAGATCCTTCCTGATTTAGACCTCAACTCCCTTTCGTGTTTCAAGTCAATTGATTGTCGCCACGTGCCATGATCTCCACTTAAGCTTTGTCTATGGAAAATCAAGATCGATAAACTCTTCAGACATTTCATCTATGATTTCATGGGCCAGGTGAAGCTTGTCTAGACATTCTATGAAGTGAGTTTTTATGGGTCAAGTGTATTGTTATGGCGTGGTTTGGGTCATTTGCTTTTTTTATGTTTGGGCTTAAATTTTGCGCTCTGTGTCAACACTAACTAAAGAGCACTTGATTTAGAGGTATATAATATGTCAAATAAGGTGGCTTTGTCTCATTGATCGGCTACTTCCCAAACTTTATGTATATGCAAGTTTTTGTTTCTTGCGCATGGGTAATTTTAATAATCTGTCATTTATTAAAATTCTTTATATATATATATAAGAGTACCCCTAGTAGATTTCGACAGTTAGTCGCAAAAACTCAAAACTCAAATAAATCCCGAGCCAAACTCACTTAAATCCGAGTCCCCGCAACCTCCTTTCCTACCGAAACTCGATTAACAAAGCAAATCCAGCAAAGATTGGCTCCTAAAATCGTCATTCGACTCGAATATTCCTTGAAATCACATGGCACGAAACTTGATTAATTAGGAAAAGACAAATCAACAAGCAACAAAATGAGAACCAGCAGGTTCAGTCGTGGACCAAACCAATACAGGCAAACCCGGTAAGTACGAGGAATCACTCTCCCTAGTTCTGGGCCGAATTCGTCCGGTCCAAACTTGGACTCTTTCGTAGCGGCCCACAAATGATCCGATTACACGCGTCGCGTTTTGACTGGGCCGACTTTTATCCACTTTCTCGACCCGATTGAAAGATGTGTTATATAGGTCGAACTATTTTCTTAAACTGTTCGAGAGATTAGGTTGAGTAGAAGATGGAATCCAAGATTGCACGCCTCTAAAGTCGCAATGTCATAGCCATCACTTGTACCACTTTGAGTTGCCTCCATCGCTTCCGAGTCAAGGGATGGGCCCGTTCGAAGATGACCGCGGATTAAACAAACCCCCTTATTCTATTATTATTTTTCACTAATAATGCATACCAAAAGCACGAAATTCTTTTCGGTAAGTTAGGAAGATTATCTTTTCTACTCAAGAAGGTGATGCATTGCAATTTTTTTCCTCTCGGTTCTTGCCGACGGGAATGTATGGCCTGCGCTCAATGTATATGAGTCCAACTAAGCATGGATTGTCGGGTAGACCCATTAAACAGGTGGGTCGGGTTTGGTCGAAAATGGTTCGACTCATATTGAACCATTGAATCCATACTTATCCATTTAACTCCTATTGACCCATTTTCATATAGTATAATTCTTCCGACCCAAACCTGACTCGACTCATATTATTTTCCTCCTCCTATTTTTGTTTTTTGATTCATTTTCTTCTCACCCTACTGTGTAGTCAGGCGAGCCTACATCGAGCTCCCTGTAGTCAGGCTTGCTCATCTTGCAACTCACCGAGTCCGCGAAGCTACTTAACTTATGCTGATGAACGATCTGCTCCCTCCCCCCCTTCTCTCTCTCTTCTCTGTCGTCCCTCCATAAAACTCTCTTTGTCTACAAAGAGTCCTTGTTGCTCCACGAGACCCCCCCTCTCTCTCTCTCTCTCTCTGAAGAAGAAGATGACGACGAGGATGGTTATGATTTTATGTTATATACGATGGATCTAGGGCTTGCTCAAGCTCGATCGGGCGAGCTCATGCTCAACAACGGCAGGACGAGCCGGTCGAGAGGAGACCAGAGGCGACGGCATCAATCGAGAGCACAGGTGTTGGTGTGGAGATACGTAGCTAGGGCATCGTGGAAAGCAATATTCTCACTCTTTTTTTAACTTTTTTTCTAATGTCTAAATTTGTTGGTCTAAGTTGAGCTATGCCCAAACCCATTTATAATCCATTTTCCAATTAAGTGCTATTGTAACAAATCCATTTCAACCCCATATTAAAGCTCCAACTTACTCATTTTCTACCCGGTCCATTAAATATGAATTAAAATACGAGTCATCGACCCATTTTGCCACCTCTACCACTGGGTTAGGCCGGGCTCATGTAGATCCCACCTCTTTCGATTATTCATCTGAATTGTGCAGTTAAAAGATTTTCTTTCTCTGTCTTTTCTTTTGCTGACTTGCACGTCCTTCTTCAACAAGGGAGTCCCAACTTTTCGTCCGGGTTGGTTAGAACAGTCAATGGGAAACCAAACCATGCTTTTCCTCCGGCGATCGCGCAACAACTCAGGCCTTCAAAAAGGCCAAACATTCAAAAGTCAACCCCGCTCTAAACCCGCCAATCAAGAAAATGGAAACAAAAAACACACAAAATATTTATATCACGTCACACCTTATTCCATAGGTAAAATTGGGTAATTCTAATGAGCTACATCACAATTCTTATCCATCGCATCGGAAAATATAAAAAAAAAAAAACTCAACAAGATCGTAAAAATGAAATGCTCTTTATATCTCGTGTTAGAAAGTCCGACCCCATCTCACATGATTATCGGGGGCCCGGTTCCACTCCCCCGGCTCATTTCGCATGCGCGTCCGACCCCGTTCCTCAAGTTATAACCATCCAATTCCGCCTCCAAACGCAGGTTATGAACGAACTAATACAAAAACCATCCAATCCCGCCGTGATTTCCCGATGAACATCGAACGACTACTACTACTAAAATGAGGCGGGTGGTGCGCCGTCAGATCTGGTAGGGGTGCACCGGGGGTATTCGCGGGCCTCACATGCACCCTAACACCTCTCCCTCCTCCGCAAAAGTCAAACCCGAAGAGACTATATGATAATACTCACTGTCGCTTAACCAACTCCCCCTTCCATTTTGTTGCCTTCACGTCCCCAGCACTCCGCGCGAATGCAGGTCTGATCTCGGGGAAGCCGAAGCTTCCGTACGCCGCCATGCTCGGCGGCCATCTGCTCCTGCCATGGCTTCTCGCTCTCGCCTTCGCCGCTCCGGCGGCGGCGGCGGCGGCGGCCTCGCTCGCTCGTCCCGGTGAGTCCCCTCCCTCCCTCCCTCCCTCTTCCTTGAGCTCTCTCGAGACCTTCGAGCTTGTTTGATCCCGCCGGACCGCTGGCGGTTCTCGCTCTGGCTGCGGCGGAGACGAGAGGGATTTTCTGAGCTCCGTTTCGATGGGTTCCGCGATGGCCGGGAGCTCGGTCTCGCGGGGAAATCGGTGCTTGCTTTGCTGGCTCGTTGTTTTTTGGGCTCCTTGAGCTGATCCTTTTGGAGTTGCGTTGAGTTGATTGGAGTGGAGTGGAGTGGAGTGGAGTGGTGTGTGTTTCGCTCCGATTTGCATGAACTGAATGAACGGTGGCGAGTGCGCTATTCCATCGGGGTTCGTTGACTTGAATGAGAGAGGACTACCGATCATACCAAGTCTTGACGACTTAGTGCGGATGTGTGGAGGAATCGCGGGTGAGTTTGCACGCGGTTGCTGGTTTTTTTGTTTTAAAGAGAAAAGCTGTTGCTGTCTTGCTCAGCTTCTTGGTAGAAGCATTTGGTTGATTTCAATTTTACTGCTTGGGTGGGGGCGTGCGTATGTTGAGCTCTGCGTTTCTCTTCTTATTCCTTCACAATTTTCTTTCCTTGTTTTTGATAGTCAATTTAGGGTCTTGGACTAATAAATCGTAGAATTTTCTGTTTTTAACTCTTTCTTTTTAATGTTTTGCTAAATGTACCTAAGTAACAACAGAATGCAAATAACGACTTCCTTGGCCAACCGGACAGAAGTACCGGGCATCAGGTCAAACTTCATTAATCTCTGGATTAAGAATTGCTGCACAAAAACTTATATTTGACTGTGATTCCCTCCGTGATAGAAGCGGTGTATTATGATATTAGCCTATTTTCTGATTTGTGATGAATTGCTATCCTGTTTCTCGTATGGCAGCACCGCTCGCAATGCGCATCAGCTGTGGAGCTCGTGAGGGTGTACACACGCCCCCGACCAATACTCTGTGGTTTAAGGATTTTGCATATACAGGAGGTATACCGGCTAATGCAACGAGACCAAGTTTTATAACTCCTCCGCTTAAAACCCTCCGTTACTTCCCTTTATCTGAAGGACCTGAAAATTGCTACAACATTAATGGCGTTCCGATCGGCCACTATTCCGTGAGGACCTTCTTTGGATTAGTTGTACAGCCTAGTTTTGACAATGAACCCCTGTTTGACATTTCTGTCGAAGGCACTCAGATTGGTTCTCTATCATCCGGGTGGACTGACCATGATGACCAAGTATTTGCTGAAGCCAGTGTATTCCTTGCTGATAACACTGCTTCTCTTTGCTTCCATAGCACTGGCCATGGGGATCCTGCAATTGTTTCGATTGAAATTCTACAAGTTAATGATAGGGCATATTATTTTGGACCCAACTGGGGTCGAGGGACGATTCTTAGAACAGTCAAAAGACTAAGTTGTGGCAATGGGAAGCCAAAATTTGATGCAGATTATAGTGGGGATCAGTGGGGTGGGGACAGGTTTTGGGATTCAGTTACAACATTCCGCTCTGGCTCTGACCGGGAGAGATCTACAGAAGAAAGCATTACGCAGACTTCACTTCCTCCAAATTATTATCCTGAAGGTCTCTATCAGACAGCAATTATTGGCACTGATCTGCTGCCAGATTTAGAATATACAATGGATGTGGACCCTAACAGCAACTACTCCGTCTGGTTACATTTTGCTGAAATAGATGCTTCAGTTACGGGAGCAGGACAAAGAGTTTTTGATGTTCTAATCAATGGTGATACCATTTTTCAAGGTGTAGACATAATAAAGAGGAGTGGGGATCGTTATGCCGCTCTAGTGTTGAATACTACTGTTCCCGTTAGTGGGAGGACTTTGACAATCAGATTGCTACCAAAAGAAGGCAACATTGCGATAATTAATGCCATCGAAGTCTTTGAAATCGTCATAGCTGAGTCAAAAACTTCAGTGGATGAAGGTACAATACAACCTTTCTCTGTTAAGATGACTATAAGCTTTTACTGCACTGGTAATCCTGTGTGCTTATCGTCTACTAGTTCAACCCTCATGGCTATGGCATCGAGTTTTGATTGAAGGCATGGTATAAGCTCATTGAGATTGCCTAATAGTACAACTGTATTGATATGAGGGTAAATGTGCGCTAGTTATTGCATGCTTTTGTGTTTGATTTGTCATGGTAACAGCCTGCTTGATTAATTTCTGGTTTAATGTATATTAGACGAGATGGAAGATAAGGCTATCTCAGCATTCTAGTGATACTTTACTGACTTAATGATTGAGTTTGGTGAGTCCCCTAATTCCTTTACTGACTTTACGAGATAATTTCTGTCAGTGATTGGCTGCTTTATTTTGCTGAAAACGCGCCCTTACACCATACACTATGCTTGTGTGCTTGCTGTGATGCGCTTCTTCTAAAATCTTTCTTTTGAACCAGACATGTCGTGCACATGCATGGGTGTCTCACCTTATCAAAAGTTGCAAATATCTGCATACGAAGCATCTATTTTGCTTGAGAATATGAGCAGGACGCTTGTGTTACAAACATCATTTCATGAAAGTTTGGTGGAGTGGCTATTGCTGAATGGTGTTACTTTTGACGTTCCTGATATGGTTTAGTGATGGACCATAGTTGTCATACATTCTGCAACATGCTGTTTTATTGTTCCTCTGCCGTTGTTCTCACTTTGGGCATCCAAGTTTTTGGCTGACGCGCACCGGAGTAAATGTACCCTGTCTTTCCTCTAGAATAATGGCAATTTAATTTACAAACTGAAACCACTGACCAGAATTTTTGAACAACTTGCCTGTAATACTCCTTTGGAAGTGTTCCCTGCTTATCTCCTCTGTTTTTTTTGTTGGATGGATGCTTGTCTCCTCTTTGGCTGAGTGACAGAAGATGTAGAAAAAAAATATGGAAGGGAAATTTTGAGCCTTTTTTAACTCTTAGCTTCTAATTTTTTAGTTAGGGCTCTACAGAGTCTGAAGGACGGATTGATGCTTCCTCTTCGATTTGGGTGGAATGGTGATCCATGTGTTCCCCAGCAACATCCATGGAGCGGCATTGACTGTCAATTTAACAGTACCCACAACAACTGGGTCATTGATGGACTGTAATGCATCTTACTTCTGTCCTGTGTATTCTTTATCTCATATTTGACATGCTAACATGATCTTTCATCAACTTGCTATCTTTTGGTTTTGTTGCCATTGGGACTTTGCGTTGATGTCACTGCTTTTGGGGAGTTGCAATAAAGGGTAAATGGAAGTGCTTGAGGGATCCAAAAGTAACTAGTATGCTGTGCTAAGAACTTTGTTTGCCAGCTTGTTGCTGCTAACCGAACTGTGAAAGGATAATTAGGATGCAATTGTTTGGTTCACATCTGTTGACATATATGATATTACTGCGTAAGAGTGTAGTGCAAGCACTTCTTTAGCTAGTTCCACTATAAACAAGTCCAAAATTTATCCATTTGATTTCTCATGTCATGCTTCTACCTCAGCAGCCTAGACCCATTCAACTGCATCCAGTTTGCTGCTTGCTTCGTCAGATCAATAATATTAATATGTTCCATTCGCGCATTGTGCTACTAAACTCTCGCCTTTCATCTCATTGTCCTAGACCCATTCGACTGTGTCCTCTTGCTGCTTGTCTCTTAGGCCTTTATCTCTATTCAGCTAACTTTCTCATCGAAATTTAATCTGGCAGTCAACATGCCTCTCGTGAGAGCATTTAAGTACTATTTTGGTCAGATTTCGAAAACAGAATGAATTACTGAATCGAATACTATTGCTGCCTTAACGAGGTAGCTCGAGGTAGCACGAAAAATGATTCAACTCCCTTTCTCCAATTATTCAATTTCATTTCCAAATCTTCCCGTTATTTGGCAACTAGCTTCTTTCCACATTGTCCAACCAAATGTCATAAACTTAAAACCTGGATCCCTGGCTGTATTGAAGTTTGACTCTTAACTTTCCTATTAAATGTTGCAAAACTTGTGCATATGGAGCAGGGTACATAGGTTTTTCCCCCTCTTTGAGCCTTGAGGCCACAATTTTCATCACCGCCAAACCGTTCACTTTTCGAGTTGCTCTTCATGCAACCATTGTTCTTCCTTGTCCGAATGAGAGGATTTGCAACCATAATTCCGAAACCTGTTGGCTTAGCATATCCCATCAGATTGTCAATATTGGCACAATGGCACCAGTCTTGTAGAAGTAAAGCTAAATCCTTCTGAGTTAGAATGTGCAAAGCGATGAATCATGAATTTGCAGGCATACTTTCTAGGAACTTGGAATAATTCATGTCAGATAGTTCTCAAGGTTAAAATCCACATCATATAGCATGGACACAATTACACTGTCACATTGTTTGCTATTAGAAGTTATTTTGCATCTCGTCATGCATTTAACTGACAGTTTGTATCGTCCAAAATATGGAGCTTTGGACACCATTGTAATTATTTATAGATATTCTATGTGAATTGGAGCATGTCTCAAGGCTGTCGTTATAACCAATCATTCGAACCAATTGTCTCCTCAAAATGAGGTTTTGTCGACCAGAAGCTATTACTTGTTTCCTCCCTCTGCTCACTCTCAGTCAGAAATGCATTCATTCATGAAAATTTAAAAGCATTGTAACTTTTAGAAGTGTGATTTTGCAATTAAACTAAAATAGACAGTAACTACGTTACTCTTAGGATGGTGACTAATTTTCAAAACGCATGGTGTAAAGTTTAATTATGCTATACAGAATGCAAAACATAATTGTCTTTTGTTGCAATCTTTGGCTGGGTAACTGCTTGCTGGGGTTACTGAATATGCTTCATTCTACTTTGTTAGTCCTTACTCTTGTTGTTTCAGTTATATTAAACTTTCCAGGAGACAGTTTTCTTTATCCAGATATTTATTTAGCTGAAACATTAACTTTGAAAGAAATATTTACAGGACTTTCTCTTGTTCTAGACGATGAATTCCATCATAGAAACTTTGGAAGGTTTAGCTAGGTTATATAATGACTCAGCTTTCTACTTGTACCTATGTTTGATCAGCGGGCTGGACAACCAGGGTTTGAGGGGTTTCTTGTCGCCAAATGTATCTGGATTGCAACATCTACAGAGCATGTAAGTGTCTAAAGATACTTCCCATGTCAAAATATTCACACTGTATCATCTACAAAGGAGATGCTTTGCTTTGGCTAAATAGTTTCCTTTGGATTGTTAAACTGCCATGTTCTATTGAGGGAATCAACTGTGAAACACTGACTCATTAGTTAGATAGTAACAATGTAAACCTAGGAGATGGCCCCATTTTGAAGTTTGAACATATGTTATTCATGTGCCGTAGTATTACCTCATAATTCCACATGAAAAAGATATGATTTAGACAGACGTCATCAGACTAATGCATCTCCATAGCTTTGTGTTTTATTGTTTTTGACATGAACTATTTCCAACTGGCATGTGCAGAAACTTGAGTGGAAACAGCATTCAAGGGCATATTCCGTCCTCTTTGGGTACAATAGCTAGCTTGGAGATATTGTGAGTAATTTCTAATGGAATTTAAAGCTTTTTTATGTTTTTAGCTGCCCTGATATTGACAATAATAAGTAAAATTCTCCATTATTAATGTGTTTTGCTGTTGAAAGAGCTCTTCTGGCACTGATCACCTGAAGCATTTTGAACTCTTGGCTGGTGCCTGCTCCAATGACCAAATTTAGGCTTTTTGGCAAATCTTTACCTGACTAATTTGGTCCTTCCATTGCTTTTGTATTGGCAAAATCAAAGGCAACCTGCCAGTTTTCTGAGCTGTTCTGTCTTAACTTCTCTGATTTTTATTTATTTATTTATTGTATACATTCCGCACTTACTCTCTGACAACATTGTCAGTGTGCGCAGTAAACCTGAAACCAGTTCAGCTTCTGACTAAACTGTTCTTGATCTTGAGCTACTTACGTTTTCCACTGGTAGATAGGAGTCATAGGCACCGTCTTACTATTTTTCACAGGGGATGGTAGTTGGATCCGGCAGCTCTCTTAGGGTTCCCTCATCTAGGATCCCTAGGGGAAGAGGATCAAATTGCCCCTTGCGAACAGCTTGATGCACTATCTTCCTTCAATCCTTTGAGTGAAATGTGGCAAAAGGAAAGAAAATCCATGGACCAACCCCATCGTCTCCACCTCGTAGGAACTACGAGATAACCCCAAAAATGCCTTCGGCATCCAAGGGTCGCAGACCGACCATAGAATCCTGTCCAATAAGTGGAATGCATCAGCGGTCCACTCTTAGGTCGAGCAGTAAGGGTTGGAGAAGGGCAATCCCCTCCGGTTTTTCGCTAATACCATTTCCTTCAAGATGAGAGATTTCAAGATGACACTTGTGACACAGAGAAAACAAGTGATAGTTCACAGATGCCAAATTCTGTTTGGACAAGTTGACAGAGAGCCAGATATCCACCATGATGATGGAGATATCAGAGAGATATCTTTCAAGAAGCAGGAGCATCCGGCAGGAAATTGACTTTTAGGACTCGTAGCATTGGCGGACACTATGCTGGACAAGGATTAGGAAACATTACGGGGTTTTCTTTTTATTGATAATCACCTCCAAATACACATGTTCATATTTGTTGGATCTTTCTTGATGGTCTCTCTCTCCCTCTTCCTCTCCTACTTGAAATGACGCTCTCAAATGTATAAATTGCTTAAAGATTCGATGGGTCCTTCAATTTTCTTGAACTAATGGATTTGTTGAAATTGATTGCACCCTGGTTTGATATTTTATGACGTAAATCCTAACTCTAAAAGATGCATTGCAGGGACCTCTCCTACAATTCCTTAAATGGATCGATTCCAGAAAGTCTTGGACAGTTAACATCCTTGACGAAACTGTATGAAAAAATTTTGGTTGACTTTGAAAGAAAAATGATCGGCATGATGTGACGTGACTCTAGTTTAATCCCCGTTGGCATGATGCAGGAATCTCAATGGGAATTTCTTATCAGGGCAAGTCCCTACAGCCCTAGGAGGCAGGCTTCTGCACGGAGCAAGCTTCAAGTATGCTCCAGGATTTTTTTTTATTTAGGCGCTCTATTAGCAGCAATTGCCCGACTTTATTCTGTTTATTTCGTGCGGTTGAGCTTTGCTGATTTACAGCTAAATGAGTTCCTTGGCTGCGAATTGTTACAGTTTCACTGACAATGCTGGTCTTTGCGGCATACCTGGCCTTCCCACGTGTGGTACCCACCTTTCAGCAGGTGCAAAGGTTGGCATTGCCTTCGGTGCCTGTGTGGCATTGCTACTCCTTGTCGTGTGTTCTGTGTGTTGGTGGAAAAGGCGCCAGAACATTCTCCGGGCTCAGCAGATCGCTGGTAAGCTTGTGAAGTGATAGAATTAACTTCGGTCATGTACTAGAACCTTAATGCTTTAATGAAGAACCAATCTGCGAAGCTATATGTTTCAAGAAGAATCTGACATGAATATAAAAATTCAGAGAATACCCTACTATGTATGAATGAATGATGTGGCCGCAATGCTTTTCCAGGGATTTTTTATGTGATAATAGAACCAGAATCGAAAGGGCCAAAGTTAGGGGGCAGAAGCGATAACTGAATGAGTTTATGCTCGATATAGAGTAAAATCGAGTTGACAATCATATTAGATCAGAATGGATCAAGATTCTTCTTTCCTTTAGGTAATCTTTGCTGCAATCTTGTTTGTTTTGCAGCAAGAGAAGCTCCCTATGCCAAAGCGAGGACACATTTTTCGCGCGACATCCAACTGGCAAGACATCATAACCACGGTCATGCTCGTTCCACTACCGAGAACGGGCCTAGCTTGCTCTCATGACAGGTTCCACGAATCTAGTACAGTCGAAGTCATCCATCTTACTGCTTGGACACACGGTGCCGGGGACATGAGCCAAGCATGACCGGTCAGTTGATTTGCCCTTGCTACTAGTGATTTTACAGCCGAGTAACAGGCAAGAGAGCTGATGTTTCGGAAAATTCTCGTTCCACCCCCTTTTTCCCCCTTTAGATTATAGGGAAAAGAAGCCAGAGATCTGTTATAGACGCTCATACCCATCCTAGGTTACACTATAACCAAAAAAGTGTCTGTAAATCATTCCAATTGTCCGTAAAATACCGGCAAATGAATGATCATAGTGTTCATCATCTCTGCATCCTTCCTGTAAATTGTTTACTCGAGCGCTGAACAGCGAAAGTACCACGAACACCTCACATACAACCGAAGCTGAAATCCCCAGCAGCTGCCCTCGAGTCATCGGGCTCGGGCTCGGGCTCTTTTTTGGCACTTCGGCTCAACATATGTGCACTGATATCTACACTTCTCCCACAGGTTCCACAGGGTACACTTCCAGTCAAATGACCCTGAAAGTATAGCACTCCTTCGCAATGAAGTAATACATATCCACATCTCAAACAGACCGTTCCATCTCTACACTTGACTCTACCATGGGTCGGTTCCTTTGCGCTCGGGCCCATCCATATCAACGCATGATCAGGTTTTTTTTCCACACGAGTTGGCAAAAAGGTAAATCAAAAGATCGTCGCGAGAGATAAAAACAGGAAAAAGAAGGAAGAGAAGTGGCACGGATAGACAAATGGTCCAAGCAGCATCCCACGCGCCCAGAAGCTGAACTAAGCGCCAAAAAACAAAAAATTATATATACATATTCGTTCACGTGAAGACTTGGTGTCGGGTAGCTGCAGGGTGCAGCCACCCACCCTCGTTCAGCAGCCGCAGCTGTACCTGTACGACCCAACCGCCTTTCCTCCTCTCACGTTCACACCCTTCCTCCTCCCAAACACTCCAAAAGAATTCGGACACAGACACACACCACGCAGTAGTAGGGGGGGGCCAAAAGACTTACCTACCTTCACTGACTCGGGAAGAGCTTCGCTTTGCTTGTAAAACTCGGCTCTTTTAGATCCCCTGGTTTTTTTGGTGGAGCCTCCCCTCCTTCGATTGAACCCTTCTGATATTCTAGCGTTGCAGAAAGCCGTAGGACCAGACAGAGCGCTGTGCTGCAGTATAGCCCCTCCCATTATATGAAACTTTGTGAAAAGATCATGGGGTCGGCACGCGAATTAAAAGTCAAAGTCGCTAATAATGCGAGGTTTCGAATGACGGGATCGGTCGAGATCGGGAAACCTCCCAGGGGAATAACGGGAGACGCGCTCTAGTAGCATGGTTTGTCATGTTCTCGAGAAATTTCGTATTTTCCATGAGATTCCTCTTGAAAAGCTACGTAGGATCAAAAAGATATGTCGCTTCAAAGAGTTGTCGGAGATGGGCACTTTGGAAGTTTTGCCCTCTTAAAGCCACTACTACTGGACGAATAACACGATTGGATTCGGCTTTCGCTCCGTTTCGGTTCATGATTGAACCCCGCCGCGTATTCAAACCGGCGGAAACTCTTCATTTCGGATTTCATCCGATTCGATTTTCACAAACGACCCCCGATATGCTCGCATTCGATTCATGACCAATAAATTACTGATGTTTTCAGCTTTACTCGAACGCTCACCTGAAAATTTCCAAATAAGTTTGTACCTCGGCTCATATTATATATATATATGACGACGGACGCGGACAAATTCCCGGGACCTTGCAAATTCCCACGCGATTCGATTTTTCTTTCCTTGTGGATTTTTTTTCCCCAGATGCCTCCGATGCTCACCCCCATTTGATTCAAATCCGATTCGTAGCTGAATTGCCGATATTTTCCGGCTTTTCTCGATTCACTTTTTTGTGAAGGGCAAAAAGAAACTCCAAAACCAGCTTTTTCATCAGCTCATTTGTTCCGTTGTGATGGAAAAGGAAACCGAGTCAAACACGCCACGCCAGCCCCCCCCGACTCCTGAAAAAATCATATATTATCGCAACACGAAGCTCAGGCAATTCCTTTCGAAATTTTTTTTTAAAAAAAAAAATAATAATTTAAAAAAACACAAAAAAAAGAAGGTCCCCACCAGCTTTGAGCTGTTTCCCGCAGGTCGGACACCACGTGTGCCCTCCAAGAACGCTCCACGTGGACCTGGGGGGTACGGGGATCGTCTCCTCCCTCCGGTAACGTGCGGCAGCTTCTCCCCCGCGACCGCCCACTCGCGTCCGGACACGTGTCCTCCGCCGCGGGAATAAAAAGTTCAGTCGCTTTTTTCTTCCTTTCTGTTTTTTGTTTGTTTGTTTGTTTGTGCGTTTGGAGTTTCGAGGGGGGGGGGGGGGTGAAATTTTTGGCAGGCGCCGCTCAGACAGCGCCGTACGAGAGCGGATAGGGCTGGCGTCAGCGGGGACGCGCGACGCCGTGGGGGTGAGCTTTAGTCACGGCGCGACCCCCGCTCCCCCGCCTCCTCCGCCGCCGCCCGACCCCCTCCCACGTCTACTCCGGCGGCGGCGGCGGCGGCGGCTCTCCCCTGAGGCTGCGCTCCAGCACCCGCCCCCCTCCCCCGCCCTACCCTACTCTTGCCCTACTATAAAATTACAAAAATGATTCCCGATTTTAGTTTTGAAAACATAAAAGAGTCCTCGTTTTTAAATGAGTAAAAATTACACTTGATCGCCAAAATATAATCACTTGCCAATTTTACTTCATGTGTCTTGCATCATTCCGTGTCTCTTATTTGGCGATCCTTTCTTTTTCTTTTTTTCTACGGATGCTATGTTGATGCGCGAAACGAATCCGGCGATGGAAAACATGATGAGGGAGACAAGGATATTGCACGATAATAACGGCCATTCTCTCGTCGTGAAGATGTTCTCGACCCGATGAAGTTTAAAAAGCATCATTTCCTTCACTGCTACGCGCAATGAATGAGGAGTTTGCTTTAATTACATCTGACCCAGTTGACAATACAATCATCATACCTGTTGTTACAGCTATGATCTTAATTATCCGTTTGTTGCGGCCGGAAAAGCTCACGAAAATAGTAAGGATTGTGTGAGGTTTGACTTCACTTTCTAGTCGATATAAGGGTAACATACTTGATTCCATGAGTAAATTGGGCTATATATCCACAATACTAGGAAGGAAAATACCTATCCAAAAGAAAAAAAAGACGATAATAGAATATAAAAAGGAGAGAAAATAGGAAAATGGAAAAGTCTTTTGTGTGTATAAAAGCGAAATGTTGGGCGAGCGGCCGTCGATTACGGGGCGACTCATCAACGCTGTGTAGTCCCCCCACGAACACTCTCTCTCTCTCTCATCGGAAACGCTCGCTCACCGAGACAATGTCGTCGTCGTCGTCAGCGACCGCGGGCGGCGGCGGCGGCGGCGGCGGCGGCGGCGAGATCCACTACAGGGGAGTGAGGAAGAGGCCGTGGGGCCGGTACGCGGCGGAGATACGCGACCCGTGGAAGAAGACCCGCGTCTGGCTCGGCACCTTCGACACACCCGAGGAGGCCGCCCTCGCCTACGACGGCGCCGCCCGCTCCCTCCGCGGCTCCAAGGCCAAGACCAACTTCCCCCTTCCTCCTCCTCCTCCTCACCACCACCACCTCTCCCTCGGTCCCCCTCCTCCCGACGCCTGGCACTACTCCCGGGTCGCCCTCGGCGAGTTCTTGCACACCGGGGTCCTCAGGGACGTGAGATTCGAGCCCGACGGCGACGAGGGCCTGGCTGCGCGCGAGGAAGCGGCGGCGGCGGCGTTGGTTGGCCGCGGAGGCGCTCCGGAGGCCGACGGCAACGGGACGGCGGCGTTGCTGGGGATGGCGGGTCGCGGGCTTCCCATTGATCTGAACAAACCGCCGCCATTTTGGATGTAGTCGAGCTAGGCCCTCTTCCTTTTCCTTTCAAGTTCTTCCTTCCTTTTGGGGATCTGCCGAGGGAGCTAGAGAGAAGCAAGAACAGTCCCCAGCAGCAAGAAGAAGAAGAAGAAGAAGAAGCAGAAGAAGAGATAATGGTGTAAATATATCTATTTTTGTTCCCAGTTTTCTTCATCAAAAAGCTCTGAGATTTTCTTCCCTTATCTGTCATCGTTGCTGTTCGATGATGCCTCCACAGAACGACTCATCTATCGTTCGATCATCCTCTTCTTCTTCTTCGTCAGTTCGCTACAGAAAAACTCGCTGTAGAAAATGGTTCGGATCGGTCATGATACGAGTTCAGAGAAGATGGTGCAGCGTTTCTTCCTCTTTTGACTGCGCATTTCTTCACGAGTTTCTATTAACACGGGACTTCTTGGATAATGATAAAGTACAATCTCATTATATAAAAATATATATTTTATAATACATATTTATATTTATATTTGTTGTTCATAAAATATAATTCGCGATGCCTGGCTGTCACGTGTGTGGGAGTAAAATACTAAAATTTCCTAATCCGGGAGAATTACGTATTATCCTCCTGAATTTTTATTTTGTTACGACCGTTAATCCTCGGTAGGATATTCTCAGCTCGCTAATTTTAAAAGGTAAATCTACATTTTTATATCATTGTTTTAAGGAAGCCTATCTGTTTTTATTTTTCATTGGTTCTTCGGGAAATGAAGAGATTAGGAAAAGAGTGGAAAATAAACGAACTAAAATATCCATATCGGGATAGATAAATATCGAAAGTCTTAAAAGGAAAAAAAAATGTTGAAGATCGATGATGTGTTGATAGGACTAATACGTGTTTTTAGAAAAAGAAACCCAACTATGTGAAATGTAAAACAAAGGCCTTAATAATAAAAAGGTTAAATAACAGAAGTTTATTATGCATTTTAAAATGGTTAATTAATGCAAAACCAAAAAAGATTGATCGATAAAAATAGGTAAAAAAAGTCAGATTAACTTCAGCTAACCATTTTCTTTTATGAGTCGAGGATATCATTTTTTATAATTTTTTTAAATTGTCTTTTACATTAATTAAAACTTTAAATATCAATAATGAGTAACCGATTTTGTCATTTGACCTTTCTATTATCGAGGGCTTTTCCCTTTCATATATATCTTATTTACTTCTATTAAAGTGGCTACATTTATCAAATCTTAACAAATTTTTATTGTTTTCCCATTATTGGTACCTTATTTAGTTTATTTTTTCCATGTTCTATGTTTTCACTTTTTACAACAATTAAAGGGTAAAGAGAGATTTCTTTTATAAAGAAATGGGATAAAATACACTTTTCCACCTTAATAGTCACGTGCATTGCATATATGCTACTTGAAAAAACAACGAAGGGCTAATAGTTGTAACAAAATGAAAGTTCGATGGGGTATTGCATCACAATTGAAAGTTCGGGGTTAATCATGTATTACCCCAAAATTCATGGAAGTTTTGTGTAACTTCCCCTTATAATTACTATTGGCGTTCTTTTGAGGCTAAAGCACTTTCTTTTCAGATCATTATCAACCCATAACATTATTTGTCTAGTTGCCCTTCAAGACACTCGGTACCTCACTCGATAGCGGCGGTGATGGGATTTTTTTTTTATGGTCAGATGGCGGTGAAAGGATGACTCGTATATCTTGAGTGATTTTACCTTATTACTGCCGACACATGACAGGCGATAATGCGGCTAACTTATCTATCATGATTGGTTTTATCTTATTTTCCAACATTAAGTTACTAACGTTTATAGTACCCGCGCAATGAGAAAATTCCATAAGGACATCATTTGGAATATCAGGCCAAACTTGATGAACAATTACCATAATCTATTTTTTAAAGGGCTAAAAACGCAATTAATTTATAGGAATGTCTTATATTTTCTCACCTGATCGTTAAACCTGCTCACGCACGGCTCTCAACAAAAGATGACTTTAAGATAATTGATAAAGCAAATTGGCATACTTTTTTTTTCTAAAAAACTTTTATTTGCAAACTGCCCATTCGTTTTCATCGAAAATTGCGTCATTATTCAAGGAGACAAGTAAAAAAGCAAAATTCAAAAGGAATCAAAGTGAAAGGACTATCGACTCTGTTTGGTACCTAAAGATGAGACAATCGGAATAACATAAAAGGATTCAAAATATATTATACGAAATAAAAAAAGGGAATTAATTTAAAAATTATCCATTTGTGGTATTGAATTTTGTTCTTTCAAATTGTTATATACGACTGCAAATTAGGTTACTCAACTTAACCACATCAATTTTTCTTTTTGACCACAAAGTTACCAAACCCCTAATTATTTAATGGCCCAATTCTCTAAAAAAGAAACCTCAATTTTGGGTCCAATCTCAATTCTGCTCAAAACGTTTTTCTTCTGTCTTTAAAAAAAGTCTAAAACTTTTATTTTAATCTCAAATCTACTCATACATCCAAAATTCTCCGCTAGTTTCTTCAAAATTACAAACGTTAAATCCAATTCGAGTTATATCATCAGAACTTATGCTTTCATCAAAACCCTATAGTATCCCTGATATTGATAATCTTGAAGAAAGTAGTAGCAATTTTTGGACGCATGAGTAAATTTGAGACTTTAGTGAAAGTTTGAGACTTTTTTTAGACATAGCAGGTTCAGGACAAAATTGGGATTTGACCTAAAATCGAGAGTGTTTTTTTAGGGAACTAACCCCGTTTTTTAACCATCCACACTTGTGTCTATAATCTTTTATTAACCCACTCCCATCTAATTTTCATTCATTTTCACCTCTCAATGTAAAAAAAAAGCATGAATGCAGCAATTTTTCATGGGAAACAGTCACAAAAAATCTCAAATTATGCCTATTATGACATATTTACCTTGAACTTTATTTTGTGACATAAAAAACCCCAAACTGTATCCACTATGACACATATATTCTAAACCTTTTCTTGTGATATAAAAAGCTTAAACTTGTACCTATATGACACATTTACCCTCCGTCAAAATTCCGTTAGATGATTTTTCAGCCAAATCACCGTCGTTTTTATTTCACATAAGTCACGTGGATGCTATATCAATATTGTTTGCCTTTTTGATGTCCATGTAGGCCGATTTTTAATAGATCTCATCGAGAGAACTTCGACAGATGGTAAATGTATTACACATGTACAAGTTTGAGAATTTTGGTGTCGCAATAAATTTTTTTTACGGTAAACGTGTCACGGTGAGCATAATTTAAGATTTCTTTGGTGGCTTTTGCCCATTTTTCATTTTCGTTCTCTCTAATTCCATTTTGTCAGGCGATATAAAAAAGCGAGAGAGGGCGAGCTTCCGGTTTTCATTTTCGATAGTTTCGTGCGGCGGGCGCTGAACGGAGCGTTCTACCGTGACAACAAGACTAACCTATCTAATATTTGACCATATTGTAAAGCTTGGTTGGGAAATGAAATTGCTGAAAAGAGTGAGGGAGACAAAAACAGCCGAAAGGCAAAAGAAAGACAAGACAAAGGGAAGAGGGGTGGTGGTGGTGGTGGTGGTGGACTGGTGGTGGGCCTCGATCAAAGCTTTGTCCCTGAAAGTGGGACAAACGTATGGACGAGACGCGACGGCTTCCAAAAGTAGTAGTAAGTAGTAGGAGCTCCCTCCCTCCAATCCCTTTGGTCTCCATGGCCAACCAATCATTTTCTATCATTTCCACCATTTTCTTCCTCTTCGCTTTTCTCTCTTTTTAAATTTCCCTTCACGGCTCCTCCTTTTATTTATTTTTTCTTCCATCCCTTTTCTAGGGGCCCAAAATGCCCAAACATGAACCAAAAAAAAAAAAAAAACAAAGATTACTTAGAATGTCATTGGCTATAAATGGAAAATCTTGGGAAAGGAAAAGTTAGATTATGAAAAAAATCTCGGTCGAAGGTGGAAAATTCGAGATGTTCTTTCGCGGACCAGACCGGCCATAAATCCCTCTTTTTGCACGTTCCGTGCTATCCGTTAAGGTTACGATAATCAAGGGCTGATTAATTACTCGGCGAAAGTAAAAGAACGGTTTCCTCTTGCCATTGCCTATTCGCGATCTCGAAAAATCCCCGAATGATGCTATTGATACTCATGTCGGAGCGGCCGTACCTTGATCCGCTCAAGTTCGTAACGGTGTCGACGGCTTTTCGAAACGAAGACGCGACCGAATATACGAACTATCAATTGCCGTGTAAAATTTCGGGGAGTTGTCGTCGGCCGCTCCAAAAAGTCAAAAGCTGTCGGACAAAAGCGTAAAGTAATTTAATTATCTTAATAATTCCAACGGCGTGCTTAATTTTTGTGATTAAAAGGAGCTTAGAATTTGCGTCCCCGCTAATCATGCAACGTTTTTCCCTGAAAATATCACAGTTATTATTATTGTTGTAATTATTTATTAATATCTTTTCTTTAATGATGTCGATATCCAATTTATCCATCTCGTGCGCTTTCTTCGCTTTTGTTATCCCGACCTGCGCGGCTCGCGGTCGGGTGGGGCCCACCACTGCCCACGTGGCGGTGGCCAGGGCCCGGATCCCCCCCTCCCTCGAGCGAATCTGTCGGCCGCAGAGGTGTCACGCCGCTCCAGCGTTGACTTTGACCATCTCCCCCTTTTTTTCTTTTCATTTCATTTTATTATTATATTATTTTTTTTGGGGGGGAAAATCCCCGTATTTGTCCTACAAAATCAATGTGGTAATTAAAAACCCCCAAGAAAAATCTGAAAATTACCACGAACTTGGCCCAAAAATAAAAAATTAGAAAAAGATATTGTTGCATGAATTAACTTGACAAGAAAAAAATCAACGCAAATGACCAACTTACACGAGGATTAGTATTAGGGGTGCGCAAAAGAACCGGGAACCGCCCGGAACTGGACCGGACCGGACCGGACCGGCTCAGAACCGGTGGTTCCTAAGGGAACCGGACCGGTTACGGGTTCCGGGTGCGGAACCGCCCGCCCACCCACTAGAACCGGACCGGTAATATAATATTATATATTATATTTAAATTTTAATTTAAAAAAGAAAGAAAAATCTTAAATCCCTAAATGTGAAACTCGCTCAGTACTCTCACTCTTCTCGGTCGACACCCAGACCTAGTAAGCAAAAGCCCATGCTTTCTTGATAGTAATTGGCGAAGCTGGGATAATAACATATAGAAAAGCTTTGACAGAATGGTAAGGGAGATGTCCATCTCTCTCTTTTCTCGTTTAACTTTATCTACCCATAGGTCTTTCACATCTTCCTGTTCACTTTAATATCTGCAAAAACAAGGCCACATGTAGATACTGTTCAATACCACAGAAATGATGCTGCACCGCATCAATCACCCCAAATCGATAAAAACCACAGTAGTATGAACATATTGATGATGTGTAATTTCACTTATTCTAGAATCATTTCTTTCCGTTGCGTAATTCTTCGTTGCATATTACAATGCCGACGTGTGAAGCTTGGTGAAACCGATTCCATAGACCTACTCGGGAACGAGACCAGACCAGTGGTCCGGTTTCCGAGTGGATCCACGGAATCAACGGGCGATTCCCAATTTCAATTTTTTGGAACTGGTCCTAAGCGGGCGGTTCCTGATTCTAGGGTGGGAACCGCCCACCCGGTCCCACCCGGACCATGCACACCCCTAATTAGTATTACTAAAAAATCTCAAACCGGTAACCTTTTAAGTTAATTTTTGTCCCTCGAAAAATTCCAAATTCGTAACACTAAACTCACCGTCCCTTAGCATCTTCCGACGGTCCGTGTAAGAGTCGATACACGTAAATCATACACAGATTCCGATACATGGGACGGCACCACCTGCGAAACACGCGCACTAAAGTTGTACGGAAATGTTATGTTCGTGAACGCAAAGTAAATTGACATCAATTGGACAATGCAGGTTGTTTCAGAAATCTCCTAGAAACGTTTTTTGCCGTTCATATTGCCAATCCTAAATCGATCTGCACGATAAGCAAACCTTATTTACTCACGAAAGGCGCTCGCGCTGCGTCGACTATATATCTATATTCTTGGAAAATATTCGGTCTCTAACCCAATAGTCGCTCTCAAACAATCTTCTGGGCAGAGAAAACGCGACGACTTGCTACGCGTTCTCTGCGTCGCTCAAACCGGGGTGGGCTTCCAAACTAAAATCGTCCGTGACCTCCTCCATGATCCTCCATCTGTAAATAGACGCGGCGGGTGCAAATTATAACGATTTCACGGTTAATCATTTGAACCTGCGAAAATCCGAAACCGGAAGATACCTCTCGAGAACGAATTTTCCTTCCTTGTATTTTTGGTTCTTGTCATGTGCAGCCACCTGCAACAGTTCACAAAAAGCCCTTCAACGACGATAGTGCAATGCCAAATGGCGGACCGATACTTCCCCAGGATAACGAGTCGGCTGGTGCAGTTCATTCAGAATATTATGCACAACAAGCAAACAACCTTTAGACTATCGACCAATCGCAGGAGCGCTACTTTCGCACTTAGCTCTATCTGAAGAACTCCGAGCAACAAATGGACAAATATAAGGAACAACTATAAGACTGATAAAAACCAGATTACACAGTGTGCTAGCAGGAGGATGCAAAAGTGCAAAGACACAGCTTTTCCTCTATGTGATGCCCTATTGGCAAGGATGCCAAGTGCATGCGCAGATGCGCCCGCAATAAGATTATCCGATAGCTATTGGGTATATTGACAGGGATCGATCAACACATCTTATTTGATATGATTCTCCTGATGGGATGATTAAAGAGAAAGAAATCGTTACTTACATACTTCCAACCGAGGATTTGCCCACAGCAGCAACAGAAAATATCTTCAACAGTGTGCATACCAGAAATCATCAATCTTTCCTCTTCAGCTCCAACTGTTATATTCACCCTGAATTTCCACGGGACACGGAGAAGTAAACTTGAGATGTCATACAGAAACTAGCCAAAGAACCAATGGACAATTATACCCAACACAGATAGCAATAAGCTCTCAAGTCAACCGGGCACACTAACTTTCGCAAAACAGCAAGAGAAATCTCTGTTCAACATTTTCGAGAAAACTCAGGGTGCTCAACCGGATATATTTCTAGACACCACAGATGCGAGCACGCGCATGCACGCATAATATGCAGTTAATCTTGTCCGTGGTGTTATTATTAATGTGATTCTGGGTAATCATTGTAATTACAGCTGCTGACCAATAAAGTTGAAAGTATTCACGTTACCTGCTTGAGTGCCCACAGTCATCTTGTCCAGAAAATTCGGACATGCATACACGCCCACACCCACATAACACATATCCACAACTCCATACATCATCTCTTTATTTTTTTTAAAAACAACCTACAAACTTTAAAGGGCTTTGAAATTTTGGCATTTTTCTTTTTCATCTAGAACATGGAGCGCTGACACTGTCCATAGGTTGGATAGAAGTCTTTCTAAAGAAAGCCTTTTTATTTCATGAGTTATATTGACATGCAATCCCACACTCCTGTAGGCAAGAGGAGCTGTCATGAAATGTGGTTCCAAACAGTTGAAAGTAACAACTTTAAATTTGTCCAATGGTCAAGAGTCTAATTGGAGAAAGAGAGGGTGAGAAAAGATAACCTTCATTGTCCAAGAACGTCTAATCAACGGCTCCACTTTCTTTGTTTGTCTCTCTATTTGCATGTTCTCAATACATGTTTTAGATTCTCCATCCTCACAAGAATATAGGTACAGTTTCTCAATTCCCCAAGGTGAGACGTGAGAGATGTTAAGGACTTAGAGACTCTTCTAAGTGGGGCCTCTTGTTAATCTATATGTCACTTTAGTGCCTTTAAATCAGCACTCTACATCTACTTAAGAGTTTGAACTTTCAATTACAAAATTATCACTGTAAATTAGCTTTATCCTAAAGTCAAAGCCTCTCCCGACATAAACATGACATACATTGCAAGGATAAAAAAACGAAAAATATGACAAATTCTCAATAGTACTCTTTATTTTCTTTTAGTCGGTAAACCAACAGAAGTATGTGGGGTCATAGGATCAGAGCACAAAACACTACTTAAGGACGAAGGAGTAACAAAATCACAGGACACAATGAAGTCAGTGCAGAATATTGCAATGAACTTACACATTGCTGAAAAGGAATGCCCTTCCCTGGCGGCAATTGAAGGACTATAGATACCACAAGAGCAAAGTTAGGGACAGAATATAGAAGAGATTTGCAGATAAGGTACACCAAAGCTAAATTATACAACAGAAAATGCAAAATAAGTTCTCTCAGGTCTAGTCTTTGTTCTTCACCTGTTAATGCTTGTATTAGAAGACAGCCAAAAATATAAGAACATCAAAAGATAATGGTAAGGATATAATTCTCATGTAAGGTTAGGTTTCAAGAGAATCAGTGCAGGATCTTTATACTGATGGCAAGAATGGGCGTAAGAACCGAAACAAAATTGTAAAGGCAGGTTGTGCTATTTTAATTTTCATAAGTGTCTTTCTGCAAACGGATTGTTTTAGATGCACAAATATGGATCTTGAGGGGTAACATTTTGTGGCGGGCAGGTCCTTCTATTCAGCAATACCCATACAGGAAATGCATTTCCCCTAAAACTTCTGCATCAACCAAATACAAAGCTCCTATAGCATATGAACAGATATTTCTCCAGATCATCATGCCATTTTCCGGTCAACCCCATGTTAATTCGAAGATTACTACTGTCGTTCTTACGCTAAAGGCCTTCACCAAAAAGTAACGTGAGAAACTTGTCTGAGCATCTTTTGCGTGAATGATTATTTCATGCCCTTAGCGTTGTTATCATTATGTTCTATCTTCAAATGTATCCTTCATTGTCCAGATCATATAACCCAATTTTTTCGACTTCCTAGGCAAATCAAATCCTAATTTCATCCTCAACCAAGGGTTCTTCACTACAAGTGAGATGTTTTTTTTTTTTTTTTTTTTTTGGGGGGGGGGGGGGTTCAAACACAAATACCATTTCCAGTGAGATGTTGAATACTGATAAATCAGGACCCATTTCTCAGGAAGAACATAAATAGTATCTAAAATTACAAAGCATCTTCATTCTCGACGCGCCATGTTAGTACAGCATTGGCCAGCTAAACACAGTGCCACTAGATTCCCGATTAAAATAGAATCAATTGGCATAGGACCTGGACCTAAAGCACCCCAGTTTCACCTGCCAGCCCACCACTAACTGGAATTATAAAATGAAGATGACTCTACCTCTAGCACTCCCATAATGCATTAGAATATCCGGAGCACAACCCACAAATCCGACAGCCCAAAGAAACCAACAGTCCACGACGAACCCATCAGGCATTTCCCCCAAATTCCATCTATTTGGGTACCCTTTAGTGACCCCTCCTCTCCATTCAGTTCAAGAACTTCCAAGAATCGCAAGTACCCATCATCTTTAAAGCAAACTTACACCGAACCCTTGATTGGAAACAATCAGATCATAACCAAACTACCTTAAAAACTCCCCCTTTTCTTCACCCAATTCGACTAGAGAATCAAGAAATGACGCACCTTAGAGAGCACGTCATCAGCAAGAGCAAGAGGGCTGTTGCAGAACCTGCACCTGTAACCTCTGCCACCCAATTCAACTAGAAACACCCTCCCCATTGTGCTCGTCCGCCGCCGCCGCCGCCGCCGCCGCCGCCTCCCCGCCTTCTTCCTTTACGTTCTTGGACTGAAATCCCCTGGATGGCGGGCCTAATTCAACCGCCGCATCAAATCACGTCTGACTTCTACATTGCTTGCGGGGAAGAAACGGCGATCCCGTGGAGCGCCGGTTTTGGTAAGGCAGATGTCATGGCAAATGGCGACAAGTCAGTCTGTGCCCGCCTCTTCATCTTGTCGGCCTAATTTAGCGGCCACTTGTAATTATGGATTATGTCTCTTTAATTCGTAACCCAAAAAAAGAAGAAGAAGCAAATTAATGGGCTGTAGGAGCATTACCATTACTAGATGTCAAACGGGTAAGCGCAACATATTTATTCCAGATTAATTTTCAGATCATGATAAATTCCAAATTGTATACGTGCAACACATTTACCTTAAAAGTAATTTTTCCGTCGCAAAAATATTCAAAATCGGCATCACTCGTGATAAGTCTACCTCACGTTAGCTTCTACCTAATATATTCTTTTAGATTGCTGATGTAGAAATACATGTGGCAAGCGACTCGACGGAGAAATTCAACATAATTGATTTTTTAAACAGCGTCATTTTGAGGAAGCCAAATCTTAATAAAATGAATTGATATTGGTGAAATTAGGACAAAATTGAATATGCTCCTTCTCTCTACCAAATTGATAAAATTTTATGGTAAAATTAGGACAAAATTAGGGATTTGAGCTAAATTTCGGAAAACACGAGAGAGCTCTTGCTTGAAAGGGAAGTTGCAGGAGAGGAGTTGCTGTCCGCAGGCACCCCAAGAGGGTGCTTGACAGAGATAACTTGAGGGAGAATCTACGAGGCTTCATAGATTTTTTTTTTTAATTTAAGAGCCTAATTCCCTTAAAAAATACCAATTTTAAGATGAAATTCCAATTTTGACCAGAAATTTTATTTTATCTCATGAAAAAGCACCCATACTTAGTCCGTACCGATATGTGACATTTCCATTCAATGATGCCATTAAAGCTCAAATGTGTGATTTCACATGTGCACCTCTCTTTTTCCATTTTGATAGAAACGATATTCCAAAGTCTCTCCTAAAGAGGTTGATCTAGATGTTCATTTCTATCTCCATCACGATTGAAACTCTGGAAAATTGTGAGTCTCGTAGTCTGAGGTTCAAGGAAATGCATGGAGGGAGAATCCTCATAGATAAGAATCAGACAAGCTGGAGTAAGTTGATCTCGCTATAAACGCTAGCAGTGCTAAATTATCGGGAGTGGGATGATGTCAGAGATAAAACCATTTAAAAGTAGGAATCAGCAAATCTTTTCCTTCTCACTAGGATAACCCAAACATGTTTTATTCCCATCCATTGAGATGAACGCTATCTAGAGTGCCACTTCTCACTGCAAGTTGAAGAAGTACCAATCGCTTCAGCATCGTTCTCTATCGTCGGCATCTTCGATTCCTTTCGATGCGACCGGACATTCTTTCAACAAAAAGCCAAAACCTCCATAGATGCCGCCGTTGTGCACGGGTGACAGCGAAGCCAAAAGAGCAACTAACAGCCAGAAAAAAAGTACAGTCCATGAATGGACCAATAATCGAATTCTATCTGCAAGTTAAAAAGGAAAATCCTGGTACAATCCATGAACAAGACCAAGATGGCTCAAGCAGGGTCTAACAACGTCCATTGAGTGGATAGGGGCGAGCATTCCTTCGACCAACAACAAACAATCATCCATCTACAAGCCAAAAACCACAAGTGCTTAATTGATGGCACTCTGAAATTTCAGCTATTCATAAAAAAAGGAACTACTGAAATTCTTAAAGAAAGACATCAAAACAGCTTGCACAACAAACATCCCCGGAAAAAAGCAAAAGAAAAATCGCAGGACATCAACATATTTCACCCGACAAAAGGGCCTAATGAGAAAGACGGGAACATCTCGAGCTGCTTAGGTTGGGCTGCAAATGAAAAGTGCACAGGCTCACTTCACAGCCCAAAAAGGGTAGATACGGTATTGACCGTCGTAAGTACTGAGCTTAACACCAGTACTTTAAGTGCGTTACTTTCTGAACTATCTCAAAAGTTTTCATCAAACAATGGCTCACCTAAAGGAATCCAGCAAATTTGGCCAGAACAAAAACCTGAATCCAATAATAGGCATTCCCAGAAAAAAAAAAAATGAAGGATAGAGCACTGACATGTCCGCTGTAAGCAGAATGTTAATTAAGATGATTCGAATCATTAAGATGCCACTATTTGGAAAAGAAAGCACCCTGTGCCATCGCCAGATATATCAAACCAATCGATGACGAAAAGCTCGGGGTATCAATCACAAACTCTTAGAAATGTACTCTTACAATTCATTGTTAATGGACACTTCATGTCTCACAAACAGTAAGAAAATTGTCTATAGCTCTAGGTCAAACTCCAGTTCTCCACCTGAACCACGCACGAACCCTCCCAATAGTCATCACAAATCATCATTGCAATCTGAGTCAAAGATGAGTACTTTTAATCATTACTTTCGCAAAAACAATCTAAAGAAGTGAAAAAACAGGTTTACGAGGAACAATATGAAGATAGCATTGTATAATTTGTAAATCAGCTTAAAAGGTGATGCAGAGCAGACATAACTCAGATCCAATAGGGTCACTATGGCCAATACTAAGGAAATATTCATATTAACTGTGTGGAAAATGACTAAAACGGCCCTCTCAAATCATAATATAGAGTGCGAGTTGGTTCTAACCATGACATCTGAAACAGGTGTGCACTAAGCAATCAGAAGCAATACGAGTGTAATGGCTTCAAGGAATTGCATACTAAGCTCCCCAAATTTAAAAGTTGCGCCCACTGTCATCAGTGGTCAACATCTAACGGCTTTCTACACGGATCTTGGCGAAGTTAGCCAATTCTATCCAGTAGACAAACTAATACAGAACTTAAAAAACTAACATCATATGAATGCTCTTAAAGAAGAGTCCAAATTACTTGATAATTGTTCGCCCCATCTTCATCTAGTTTTCTCTTGCCCTACAAAAGGAGAAAATAGAATGCGTTCCCTTACTCAGAGAGAAAGAGAGAGAGGATCTATGTAAATATTGACATCAATCCCTAGTGACTTCTCCAAAATCACGGATAGTTATATTACTTTTGAAGTTCCAAAATAACCTTTCAGATGCTTTCCTCACGGTATTTTAACTCTTAAAAAGCATATCGAAGGACATTAGTTCCTATAGAAGACTTCATTTCTTTTCTAACGAAAGGGCATTTACATTATCTTGCACCAAATCACACACTATAACTTATAGACCATGATAGTCACATGTCAAATTCCAAATAACTTTTTCCTGCCATAGCCATTCCTCGTGCAAATTAGACATGAGATTGTGGTGAATATTAACCCTAATGGTCAGGGACCATTTCGCATCAATTCTTTTATAAACCCATTTTGCGTCAATTTTTTGTATTTTGTTATAATTACTCATATTTAGGTTTTCAAAACTTCATTGCTCGAGACTCAAGTAAACTATAACGGCATTATCCCCACCTCCGTCGATTGAATCAACATTAGATTTTCATTCATGCGAGAGAGAAAAAGGAAGAAACACATAACCAAAACTTAGCCACAACATCATCTGCTCATATTGCACTCAACAAGCTAATAGGCACTCGAATCAGCGGACGTATGCGAGCGCTTCTACGAAGACACGTCGCCTCCTCCCAGAAACCCAGAGTTCTAATGCAGCATTCAGTAAGCCTCAAAGGCAGAACCTCCTAGTTGGAACCCAAAAATTGAAAAAAGAAGCAAGCGAAGAGCTCATTTTCAATGATTTTTTTATTTTTTTGGTTGCAGCTTCCAATTGCCCCACCCTAATTTGTTCTACAACAATCATTTGACGAATACGAACTTACCAAGCAACTAAACTCACATCTCACCCGGGGCGAACGAACAGTTTATGCACACAAGGAATTCCAACTGGAGAATTGAAAGATCAAGCAGATGAACGAAAGGCAACTATTGTAACAATTTACCTTCCGGAGCCCAACCGGAGGCGCGGCGAGGAACGGAAAGCATGGAAGTGAGCAACGCGGAAGCAGTGGCGGTGTGGTAAGGAAGCATCGACTCCAAGCAGCTGCTCATCTCCACCGGCGATCTTCACAAGAGACGACCGAGCTCATCAACAGCCAGTCAGTCAGTCAACACACACACACCAGGGGGGAGAAAAAAAGAAGGAGAAGCAGGGATCACGGACGAAGTAAATCGGCAGTCATTTCAACCTGAAGACGCGGTGCGACGCGGGCTTCTGCGCCGGGATGCGGAAAGGAGGTCGCGCGGGCCCGGGCTTCAGGCCGGAGGAGGAGGCGGCGGACCTCGCGGCGGAGGACCGGAGGGACGGGGATCGGAGGAGAGAGCGCGCGGCGGCCGCGGCGGACATGGTTCTTTGAGCGGTGGCGAAGGCGGGGGAAAAGGGGGGGTCTTTGGAATCCTCGCTCTTCGGGGTTTTAGGTGTTGAGGTTGGGGGTTTTTGCTTGCAAAGGCTGAGCTACTTCTTTTCTTATTTATTTATTTATTTATTTTCGTTCCTCTAATTTTTTTTTATTCAAAATGGTCCTGCTAATTGTTTTTGAAAAACAGCAACCCCAACTTGTCATTTGTGACAATTTCCCAAACTTTTTTGTGACACCAAAAATCCCGAATTTTCTTTTTGACACATTTACCCCAATGTATTTAGTCCATGGGCATTTTCGTCTTTTTGCTTTTTCTTTTTTTTTCTTTTGTTTTCCTTTCCGGTGAGGGGGCCTCGCCGGCGTCGGGCGAGGGCGAGGCGGCCCTCGCCGGCTCAGCGAGGTCGACCTCGCCGGCGTTAGGCGAGTCGACCTCGCTCGAGCCGGGCGAGGCCGCCTCGCTTGCCCAGGGGGCGACCCTCGCCGGCGTCGAGCGAGGCGGCCCTCGCCGGCGTCGGCGGCCCTCGCCAGATCGGGCGAGGGCGACCCTCGCTCGGACGCCGGCGAGGGTCGCCTCGCCCGATCTCGGCGAGGCCGCCGGCGGCGAGGTCAACCTCGCGAGATCGGCGAGGCCGCCCTCGCTCGCCCGAGCGAGGCGACTCGCCGCTGCCGGGCGAGGGTCGCCGCTCGGGCGAGCGAGGGCGGCCTCGCCCGACTCAGCGAGGTCGACCTCGCCCGGCGGCCTCGCTCGACGCCGGCGAGTGGTCGACCTCGCCAGATCGGGCGAAGGCCGCCTCGCTCGCCCGGGCGAGGGCGGACCTCGCCCGACGCCGGCGAGGGTTGCCCTTGCCCGGGCGAGCGAGGGCGGCCCTCGCCCGGGCGAGCGAGGGCGGCCTCGCCCGATGCGTGCGAGGTCGACCTCGCCCGACTCAGCGAGGTCGACCTCGCCGCCGCGGCGAGGGTCGACCTCGCCCGGAGTCGCGCGGGCCGCCCTCGCTCGCCCTGTGCGAGGGCGAACTCCTGCGCCGACGGGCGAGGGCCCTCGCCGGATCCGGCGAGGGGGCTTTTAAAGGAAAAAAAAGAAAAAGCAAAAAGACGAAAATGTCCATGGACTAAATACATTGGGGTAAATGTGTCACAAAAAGCAAAGTTCGGGGTTTTTGGTGTCACAAAAAAAAGTTCAGGGTAAATGTGTCACAGATGGCAAAGTTTGGGGTTTTTGGTGGTTTTTTCCCTTTTTTTTTTTTTAAGTGTCTACCGTTAATCATTCCGTTAAAATATCTTGCTGGAGTGTTAAATAGGGATGAGCGGAGTGGTTCCGCGTTCCGTACAAGTTTCACCTAGAACTTGGAACCTTATAAGATCGGTTCCTCTCAAACCACCACTTGCTGCTGCAATCCACTGATCGCAACTTATATTTAGATGTATGAAGAATATGAAACATTAAAAAAGTAAAAGTCGTAGTCATAAAATAGAAGCTCAGACTAGTAGTTGTAAATTATACACTCATCATCGGATTCTATGTAATACCGTAGGATCATACAAAGACATAGATCAAGAAAAGCATAAAAACTTATTCCATGTTCCACCTACCTTGAACCTACTCGGTTAAACAGATTTCTCAATTTTTGGAACTTGGAACCTATCCTGTATATTCCGGAATCTAGAACTAGACAGCTTACCATCTGTTTGGTTCTCAAATTCCAGATTCTATCTTGGAATCATGCTCGCTCCTAGTGTTAAATGGAATGCATGAAGGCCGAGTCGAATATTGAATTACAAATGTCGCATTGTGATTCGCTCAAACTTCTCATGAGTATTGTTTCATATTAGCAAATACGTGGAACAGAAATAGAATAATTGAGTGAGAAAGAGAAAGAAGAGGGAGTGCAAAAACCACCATGTGCAGCCGCCTTGCGCCGTCTCAGCGGCGATTGCAACCATCGTATGATGTTCGCCTCCATAATCTCAGATCTAGCATTTACGATGGCAGAGACAGATGAGACGGACAACAACAGCTCATGAGGGGCGACACCGATGTCTCGCAAGGCAATAATAGCTTGTGAGGCGACAATGACAATTGGTGAGGCAATGGTAAGCCCGATGTTACCGAGTGCGTGTGGTTCTTCTTCTAGATTCAAGATTCGGTCGGGGGAAGAGGAGGCATCGGCCACCATGCGAGGGTTGCCGTCACGTGAGTCTCACGAGGCGACGGCGAAGGCGACGGCGAAGGCGACCGCCTGTGAGGCGACATCAACCTTACTTGATTGCGTGTGCGAGGCAACGGCATGGCATGCGTGAATATCTTTTGCCGGACCTAAATTTTTAGGGGGTACGGAAAAGAGAACAAAAATTTAATCTTTTTTTTTTCTACAAGAATGGAGAAGAGAAAGATGACATCCCCTTTAGTTAATTTTTGGTTTTTTATAACTCATTTAAACTTGTTCTATAAATAATATAAGTAAATTGGTTGAAATAAACATAAGTTAAAATGAACCATGGACTCGTGCATTGCCACCTTTTGCTAACTAGAGAGTACATAATAATTATTTGACCGGGACATAGAACGGGTTCAACCTGTGATCTTGTTGTTCTTTTGGTTAATGATATGAAATTTAATGCCAGTATTTATTTTTCTTTTTGTTTATAAAAAGAGTGAAATGGGGCTACTAGCATAGGCGATCCCTTGAACGTTATTGATGCCGAAGCGCGATAGAAATTAGGCTAAACAAAAGAATCGAAACGATAACGAGGAACAAACTGTTCTCTCAATCGATTAACAATCGATAAGTTTTCAAAACATCCAAAAACTACTGCCTCTCAAAACACTAAAAACGAGTTTATAAAGGGTGTTAACCCTAATGACAAAAAAAACACAAAAAATACAAAAATACCCTTAATTCGAAAATTACTAAAATAATTAAAAAAACTATCTAAACGACCCCGAATCGTAAAAATCCATCGTTATTGATCAGCACGCCGTTTCGCTTCAGCCGACCAAATTTGAGCTCAACCCGACATTGTTGACTTCAAGCCCGCCGGTTTGTCCAATCGCATAACGGGTCCGCCTGTCCCCTAGGTGCATCATCCTCCCCTGCTAGAGAAAGATTCGTCCTCGAATTTGCTTCGTCCTCGAATCTGCTTCGTCTTCATTGTCATCAATCTCTTCAAGGTCTTCTTCCTCTTCAGTGTAGTAAGGTGACAAATCTGCTACATTAAAAGTTCCAGAAACATTGTGCTCACCCGGCAACCCAGGTGGCAACTCTTCCGGTACGACATCAGCAAACTCCTCAAGCAAGGGCAGAACTTGGGTAGGAATTTCGGGACTGTCAGAATTCCGCTCCATCACCACAATGGCAAAAAGCTCAGGCGCGTTCACTGCCTCTTCTTGAAATTTTGATTTGGAAAGCAGATTACTTTTCCCTTCTTTTCTCAAATCTGAAGGACCTAGGGTAATGGTTCGGCCATCCTTCTTGAAGGTATAAGTATTTCTGAAACCATCATGCTGTGTCTTTCTGTCAAACTGCCACGGCCTCCTCAATAAAATATGGTAAGCATCCATTGGGACTACATCACACCACACCTCATCGATGTAATTTTTTCCAATCGAAAATTGCACAAGACACCTTTTACTCACCTTCACCTTGTTCCCTTTTCTAAACCACGACAGCTTGTATGGTTGAGGATGATATTCTGTTTTTAACCCTAACTTTTCCACCATAGTCGTGGACACCACATTCTCGCAACTCCCACCATCTATTATCATGCTGCATACTTTTCCTCTACTAGTGCACTTAGTATGAAAAATATTATGTCTAAGCCATGATTCATCATCCGCTACAGCAACATTTAATATTCTTCTAACGACTAGGGACTCACCAGAATCAGCATAGATAATCTCTTCCTGTTCTGCATCCGCATCCTCTTCTTCGCCTTCAGATTCATCATAAACTGGGTCTTCATAAAAAACTGGATTATCAACAAGCATCACAATCTGTCGGTTCAGACAATCAGCAGCAAAATGCCCGAATCCCTGACACTTGAAACACCGCTTGGCTGCAGTTTCTCCCCTGCTAGTTCCAGCACTACTCTGCCCCTCGTTGGATGCAGGTTTAGAACTCACATCCTTAACTATGACCAGTGTCGAATTTACTGCAGATGTTCCCGCTTTTCCTTGGGATTCTTTATCTGGCCACTTGGAACTGCTGCCTGACCACTTAGAATTACTGCTCTTTCTTTTAAAGCCGCCACTCCACCTTTAGGGCTAGTCTCGCACACATCCTCATATGTCCAATACTGCTGTAATTGGACAACATCGAAGATCTCATATCGCAGCCTCGCTAGATATCGTGCAATCGTCTGCTCGTCTTCCTCCGCCACATCACAACGCATCCGCAAGCGATCAAATTCTTCTGTAAATTCTTCAACTGTTTTATCACCTTGCTTGACGTTATGATACTCGATAAACGCCTCTTGCCTATAATGGGTAGGCAAAAATTTTTTCTGCAATAACTTTTTCATCTTTTCTCAGCGGTTTATTTTTGATTTCCCCTCTCTAGCACGCTGCCTTTTCACATGCTCCCACCATATCGAGGCATGTTTTCATAGCCTAATAGCCACTAATTTAACTTTCTGCTCTTCAGTCAGATCCTTAATATCAAAGATCCTCTCTACTGTATGTAACAAATCAATAAACTCATCAGGATGAGCCTTACCATTAAATTCGGGAATCTCGATCTTCATCCCGAAATTTTGAGAAGAGCGTTGATTTCCAGGTCGTACTCTTCGATTCCGCCCCTGGTTCATAACCCCGAAAGGATTTACGTCCTCCTCTTCATCATCGGATGGATCCTCAGATTCTGCTTCTTCTTTGGATTGAACGCCCAATCTCGCCTCCGCAAGTTGTCGCTCAAAATCCTGGATTCGTCTTCTCTGTTCTTCAATTTCTACGTTTTGCAGATCTCTTAGACGCGGTTGGTCGTCTGCTTCAGGAACGCCTCCACGCCCTGGGCCACCACGAGCCCGCCGTCCACGACCGCGATTC